TCCAATGCCTTCTTCTGACCTCTGTGGGCATTGTACAACATGGGTGCACTTTCACTCATGCAGGCAATACACTCATACAAAAAAAAAACCAATAAATTAAAAAAATATATAAAAAGACACAGTCTGCATCAAAACATAGATAGCATCAGCTACAATGTGTAAAAAGTCTAAACTAGTTAAACAGTTTGCTGACCAAAGAGAGTAAAATTTCAATTTTGGTCTGACTGGCACTACTGTGGGGGGAAAATCCTCTGATTTTCCCCCTTGCCTTCTCTGGCTTTTATAGTTCGTGGCCACCTGCTGGAAAATAAATAATGTTAAGTTTAACTTTCTTTTCCTCAACCTTGTCACAGGATTCACCCTTCTTTCCCTGGCTACTAGCCTTCCCTCAGGAAACATGGAATCTTTGGACTAGGTTTGGAGAAGGTAAAAGAACAAAAGGGGATTAGGGCCCCTGGCCATATTGGTGGGCGCTAACAGTGGGCACCTGCTCTTCTAACTAAGTTAAATTATACACAAGGCTGCTGAGGTTTTAAGTCAGGATTAAATATTAAAAAATATTTTGATCTATTTATTTTTATGTGCCTGAGTGTTATACCTATATATAAAAGTGCACTCAGGTCATGCAGTGCCTACAGAGATCAGAAGAGAGCATCGGATCTTCTGGAACTGGAGTTATGGATGGTTATTAGCCACCATGTGGATAGTGGGATTTGAATTGGGTCCTCTGCAAAAGCAGCCAGTGCTCTTAACTGCTGAGCTATCTCTCTAGCCCAAGGATTAACTATTTTTAACAATTTTTTTTTTTTTTTTAAAGAAAGTTAAATTCCAGCCAACACAGAGTCACACACCATGCTCAGACGGGACATGTGCTTCCAGATGGAATCCCTTGGCATTCACAAGTACAATTGATGGTAAGACATGGACTTTCTTTCCTTGGATTGAGACTATGGTGCTATTTCCTGTTTCCTTGCTCTGCTATTTTGGGCCTACATTCCTGAGGGTAAGTTCTCCTGTATATCAGTGTAAACATAACTGAATGCTTCCTTTAAAAGTCTTTACATTTTTTAAATTAATTCTTTGAGAATTTCATACAATGTATTTTGATCATATTCACTTCCCCCCGCCCAACTCCTCCCAGATCCACCCTTTTCCCTAGCTGCCCAATTTTCTGTCATCATTTAAAAAAAAATCTTGCCAGGGTTTATATCTTGCTGCTTTGCAAAGAGAATATAAAATTGCATGCTGACATCAATTACAAACAAAAGGAGGAATGAATAGACTCTTAATTTTTAATGAAAACCCAGGTATGGCAATGTGTTCTAGATCATGTTTATTTTACTCTTTCATTTTTATTCCATACCTTTATGTCTTTTTTTTCCTAAATTTTTTTTATTGAATTTTTGTGTGTCTCATACACAACGTCTTAATCATTTTTATGTCCCATTCCCCCTCCCTTGAGCTCTTTCTTCACCTTTACCCCCATGGTTCCTTGTATAACTTTCCAACTCTCCTTCCTGTTTAGATACCCTCGTCTTACCCATTTCCCCCTAGTAACACCCATCTCCTACTGTTCTTCTCACTCAGTGTCCTTCTTTCCCTTTACCTCCGTGGCTCCTTTCTATTTTCCTGGTTCCTGCAGTTACATCAGGATATATACTCACATATAAGGATTTGATGCTAGGATCCACAAATGAGGGAGAACATATGTCATTTGTTTTTCTAAGTCTGTGTTACTTCACTTAGTATAACTTAGTTTCTTGCTCCATCCATTTACCTGAAATTTTCACTAGTTCATCTTTCTTTACTGCCTGAGTGCTTCTTTTAAAAAAGAAACAGGGACAGTTGTCCATATTTAATCTGAGATGTGTGAATCCCACATGGACTCCTGCCATGATGGGTGATGGGCTCAGTTTATCATTGAGCTCACGACAGAAAAAAGTAACCATGTGATTTTGTTACCAGCTTCATTAAGATGGGGGCAGCCGTGTGACTTGGTTGCCATTTTGGTTAGTGACATCATCAAAATGGCAACTCCCATGAACCTCTTGGTACTGCTGAGCCCTCAGGAGATCACTGCACCCCAGGAATTTCCTACATCACAGGCATTCAGTCAATGTCCCAATCATTTTCTCCCAATATTTTTCCTTTCTGGTTTTCACTTTCTTGAATTCTTTAAAAAATATGTATTTTATTTATTATTTTTTAATTTTATGTATATTAATGTATTGTCTGCATGTATGTAAGTACACCTGTGTTGTGAAATGCCTGTGGAGGTCTGAAGAAGGCGTTGGATCCCCTGGAACTGGAGTTGTAAGCCACCATGTGGGTACTGGGAACTAAATTTGAGTTCTTCGCAAGAACAGCCAGTGCTCTTAACTGCCGAGCCACCTCTCCAGGCCCACTTTCTTGGATTCTTTTTTTTAAACTATTTTTTTTATTTACTTTTATGGGTATGCATGTATTGTCTGCTGCCCCCACCTGCGGGGACCCTGTACAGGTAAAGCTCGAGGGGGACCACTCCCTGAAAAGAAAACAGGCGAGAAAGAGGAGACGGAGCCCAAGCAAGTCCACTTGTCAAGGGCCGCTTTATTGTACAGCAAGCTTTCCTTATATACAGTTTGTATTTAGAAGGGGTTGAAGAAGTTGGTCAAAAGGTTACAGCATTCTTATGGGTATGGGAGGGGGACTGAGCAATTCAGCAACGTGACTGACCGCCAGGTGTTCCAAGAGATTACTGCCTGACTTATCTTTCCGAGAACTGTCTGCAAGAGGAAGAGAAAGATAACCTTGCCATAAATTCTTTCTCAAGGTTACTAGTGCAGGCAGAATGTCCTGCTTAAGTCAACTGTTTGTAGAGCCATATTATATTTTTTGGTAATGAATGTTGTTTCTCCAGCTCCCGACAC